TTTTCCTAATTAGAAAATCATGAGCTGCTAAAGCTTTTTATAATAGCTAATCCTCCCTAGTGTCTCCAAAGCACTGCAAGTCCTTTCAGTTTCATCAGCCTTAGACTACAATGACTTTTGATTAATGAGAAACAAGTGGTAGATGCATGAGGTCAGGAAATGTGTTTGTAGTCATCTGTCTAACAAAGGCTGGTTTGTCCATTGGGCTGAGGTGTCAGGAAGATTCATCCAGATGCCCTCCCCCTTTCCTCTCCCAGTGAATTCCATCATAGGCATGCATTGCATCAGCATTTTCCCAGTGTTCTTTAATCAAATGTTTGTAAATCACATGTTTCACTGAACTTACCGATTCAAGTTGTTTTACCTTTCTGGTTCGGTCGCTAAACATCTGCCGTAAGCACTTGATAATTTAATTTTGGGAAGGAAGTACAGCATAAGCTTTGGTAGTTGTTAGGAGCTCTTGCTACAGAATCAGTGCATAATAAGCTTTAGGCTGATAGTGGACCGAGGACTGGAAAGTGTTTGTTTGAGGCAGTGGTTGGAAGATTCTACATTCCTCTATTGACTGAGAAATCCCCTTAGTTCTTCTGTATATTTTTCTAGATGTCCATTTCGTTTATAGCCAAACTGCAGGTATTCAAGAGAAGTAAAAATCCAGTTACTGATGTGCAATGTGACGGCCATGTGTGTCTGGCACTGTAGAACCTAAGGCAGTGGATTCCCTTTTCTTTTTCTCAGCTTTATTTCTGTTTTTGGTGCGACATCAACGCTTTCTCCTTCTTTCCTGTATTCATTCAGCTGTGTAATGAGTTGTTACATTCAAGTGTTTATTTAAACTCATTAATGTTATATTAAATACCTTTACGTGTCATGTTTGCAAGTGATGTAATCAGATTGTGTTGCAAAAACTGACGTTCTGGAGGAAAATCTTGCGACCTCTACAAGGAAAAACATGCTTAATGAAAGTAATAGAACAGAGCATTGATCTGTACACAAAGCTAGTTGAGTTGTAACATTTCTTTTGCTTTTTTTTGTTCCACTAACTGAATGGTGGGGCAGTATACTGTACATCAAGTCCATCAAGGTGTTGAGTCCTTTCAGGAAGAGTTCAGTGTTTTGCCTCAAGAATGAAAAAGTACATGTATTGCTTTTTCTGACAAGGAAATGCAATTTACTTGCCCTTAAAGCCACAGTCAATTGTATGGAAAGGGTTGAAGCTATCATTGAAAGAATAACCAAGTCATTTAAAATACTTGTTTACCATTAAGGAAAGTTTTGTAGCTTTGTTAATTTTTCCTCCTGTTCTAAATATTTTGTCAATTACATCCCTTGCAGTAATATTATTAATATCACCCTGCAACTCACTACTGGCAACCCACTGAAGCTAAGCAGGTGTGAGCCTGGTCAGTACCTGGATGAGAGAACTACTGGGAAAAACTAAAGTTGCTGCTGGAAGAGGTGTTAGTGGGGCCAGCAGGGGGATCTCATCCAGCGGTCTGTGTGGGTCCTAATACGCCAGTATAGTGACGGGGACACTATACTGTAAAAAGACGCCGTCTTTCGGATGTGGGGAGACCATTCTGGTGCATTATGGCTGCCGTCGCATCATCCATGTGGATGCTGCACATTGGTGGTGGTTATTACCTGTAAAGCGCTTTGAGTGGAGTGTCCAGAAAAGAGCTATATAAGTGTAAACAATTAGTTTTATGATAATAATAAGTTAATACAGAACAGTCTGTACAGTGGAACAATCAGGGCAATTTATCAATAAAACATTGATAGTAGTATCAATGTTTTAGTTTTTTTTTTTAATTGTTGTAGTTTGGGGATTAGCAGAATGTTTGAGGTTCCCAAGAAAAGTACCCTATATCAAGGGCATTCTCTGAATATTTGCATAGATTGTGTATCTGATTGGCTCACATGAACTCATCATAATGGTCAAAATGGTGAGCAAATAGTGGTACCATTGGACAACTCATGCTCAAGTAACGCTTTCAATTATTAAGTCAGTCATTACAGAACATCAATATTCAACAGTGACTGGAGCATCCCAAGTATGGTCATTAAGCCAGTGTTCAAATAAATAGGGAAAGTAAGTCTCATGTCAGTGTTAATAGTACAGTAAACAGGGAGAATAGAAATCACCTCAAAGGAGAGAGGAAGACTAGACGAAAAGTGATTGGATCATGAGAGAGAAACCTCCTTTTATAGAATAGAAATGTGCAATCACTTTTGATTTGATGCTTGATCTGTCTGGTACAGGTTTCACCAAAGAGTGAACATCACTTGGTCTAGTGATATGGGGGTGAACAATCCAGTTCTCCAACATAAATATCAAGGAAGCTGTTTTTGAGATCCTAACTTTTAAAGGTACCATACACCCTGCAGAAAAGTCTTCAGACTTGCAGCAAACGTCCCACTCTGATAAATTTTCATAATAAGCAGTTTTACTATGCACACTGTGATATTATATTGAATATGAGCAGCTACATTCAGTTCTGAGATGGGATGGGACTTTAAAAGAAAATATCTGCTGGAAAGTAGGCTATGTGGCGAATTTGTCAATTACAAAAAGCAAAACATTGCATTAAAAACTTAAGTTGGTCTCCCACCCAGAGTTACTTAAAAATTGCTACAGTAAAATTGCTTTGCAATATCCTTTGTTTTTCTTCACAACTACTTTTTTGTATTTTATGGGAAATTTAGAAAAAGCTCCAGGGATGGGGATTTTTAGTGATGATATGATGAATTCTGATACAGAAACGGCTTATGGTTAGAAAAAGTGTTAATCAGAGACAGCAAGACAAATGCAACCTTGGTTGGATAAATAGCATAAAACAATCTAAAGAGACTTAATTTTAGGTGTTACGTTTTAAGCATCGCTAGTGCAGTTGCATATTCCATCCCATGACAATACAGTACTTTCTGAAATACCTGTGATTACGTAAGAAGTTGCTTACCACAAAATTCCTTTTCCCATTTTTCTGCACTGAACAGCATTTCTAATTGTTTAAATCTAATTGCAAATTAAAGAAGAATGTTGATACAGAAGTTGATAAGAAGACAATCTTCCAGTGTAGTAGGAAGTATATTAAACCACAACATTATTGTATCTCGATTGATCATCTGAGTAAAATGTTGCAGCCTTTAAGAGAACTACTTCAAGAAACCTATTATTTCATTTGTTCTTATTGTCCTCTGTTCTGAATGACTCAATGTCCTTTGTTTGGTACTTAGATTTCCTATAGCATAATCATTAACTGCTTCCAGGAAATACTGTAGCTTTTCAGAGTGGGCTGGAAAGGGATATATATCAGTGGTATACTATACTGGGGAGGTACAATAAGGTGACTAGCAAAGAGATTTCAGATCATTTAATAAAGATTGATATTGGTTTGAGTGGGTGGTTAAATTGTACTCTTCCATGATGGAATTCGCAATTCTCCATCATCTCAGACATTTTTTGCACCAGCATGGGACAGAGGATTGCAGAATCAAGGCCACTCTCTTCAGTCCATGCCTGCTATTGGAATCACTTGTTATTGGGACCAAATCTGTGATCCATAGCTCTTTGGAGACAAGTTCATCGAACAATGACATCAGTTTATGACAACAGTGCAAGTGCATAAGCATCCAGAAAGATTGATCATTGTTGTATGACATGCTGACCATACTCTGGGCCAGTTCAGTACCATTAAGTCTAATTGGTCAGTTATTACATTGCTTGGGAAATCTTGTTATCTTAATTATATACAAGAAATTGAAGTTCCAGCCAGCAGTGTCTGGTCTATTTGGATTGATCTGTTCTCTGAAAGTGCTTTCCATTCCTGAGCCATTCGTGAGATTTCTTCAAAGCATTTTATTATTAAGATGATCTGAAGAAAAAATGATAAAGGTAAAACTTGTTTTACTGTACCTTTATGAATTTTAATAATTCTGACACTAATATTGAATGTTGCAGTTAATCGGAAAAGTGAAAACTTCCTACAGTTCACTTCTATTACTGTCATGTGTTTTTCAATAAGCGGGCCTAACTGTTCATGCGAAAACGTTGAGGGAATATAATAAGCTGCACACCTACTGAAAACCCAAAGTATTAACAAGCCTCCTATTAGTAATGCGATATTAATGTAACACATACCTGAGCGACAGATTTGTGTAGCTATGAAGTAGAAAGTATCTATTTTCTGCTGCTTTATTTTCTTGGAATCATTGTTTTTCATTTGTTTACTTCTCACTACAGTAGTAGAGTAAACTTGTGAAAATGAGCTATAAATGGTTATCCAGTCTGGAAAAATGTGTATAGTTAAGGGTCTAATTTTAGTAGCTAAAATGTGTATCCTTTCACTGACTTATTCTTCTAAGTCTTCTTATTTCTAAGTGAAATTATATTTCTCCTTTCTTTGACATTGAATGTATTGTTATTCGTTTTAGTTTTAATTTGCTGTCAAAACAATTAGTTCGACATTTAATTGCAGTTCAGGGAAGATTTTTTTTAACATTTAACAATAACATAATATTTTAGCACTTTCTGCTGCCAAAAATGAGAACGAAGGCCATTGAATGTGCTAAATACAGGTTTTGTCAGCTTTTATAATCATTTTAAATAATTTAGTTTAGAGCATGACTTGAATCTTCATCAGCTTGATCTGTTGCGACATACACGTGTCGGAAACAGCTAAGACCATAATCAGTGTCCATTTTTAACACCTACAGAAATTTGTAGATGCCAATAATGGGTGTTAGATGTTTAGCACCTTATTTGTAAAAAAAAAGTGCATAGACACATCTGTAAAATTGTTTCATTATATTGCTTTGTCAGAAAAAATATAAACCTCAAAACTATAAGTGAATTAAGTATTGATGGGAGTTTGTTTGCCTGTGTGTTTTTTTGCTTCGTGCTTAATTTTGCCCATTTTACTCCATGTTCCAAATCAATTATTGTATCTAGCCTTTGCCCGATTTAGTCCTTTCCTGAGAGATACCCTTTATCTTTGCAGGTGGTAATAAACTGCGCCATTCCCAAGGGGCTGAAATACAACCAGGCCACACAGACCTTCCACCAGTGGCGTGATGCCCGCCAGGTGTACGGTCTGAACTTTGGAAGCAAAGAGGATGCCAATGTATTTGCCAGTGCCATGATGCATGCCTTGGAAGTATTAAACTCTCAAGATACAGGTATGGGACCGAGTTGCAAAGGAGTTTATACTGAAGATCGCTGAAGAAAACCCCACTAGAGCAACATCACTTTTGTTTTGTGCTAGGCCTGGTTTCCTTGTTGCTCTTGTCTAGTCCATAAGTGCGCAACTCCAGCCTTAAGTGCCTGGTCCATAATCAACGAAGTGGTTTTGTTCCTGTCTACTTCCAACCTGAGCAATAGTGTCTTAAGAGAAGCTTTTGGAAAGGGCTGCTGCCTTTACATGCTTTCAAGAGGCTTTTGGCTAGATTACTTTAAAATACTTTCTGAATGAAATGCTTTGCTTCATGTTTTACGAATGAAACAAAAGAAATGGGAGATATTAAACGTAGTCACTGCCAGCTGTGCACAACATTGCTACAAGATAGATTAATCTTTACCATATTTGTGAAATTATTTGAATGATATAATTTCTAAAATGCCCATATTACTGTTACCCCGGAGTACCAGGGACTGCCCTTGTTTGAAAAAGAAAATGTAGATGTGCGGAGGAATGGAGTTACACCTTAATGCTGGTAAAACTGAGAAATTTGTTAGTGTTCTACAAGGATAAAATGACATTCCTGTGTAGCAGATCACGATGACATCATAAAAAGTATCAAAATGCAAGCCAAACATTAAGGGCTTCCAGTGTCAACTGAACATTAAATGAAGCAACATAGTGTCTTAATAAGGCACTGGGCCACCACCAGCTGCCAGAACAGCTTCAGTATGCCTTGCCATAGATTTTACAAGTGATTGTACCTCTATTGGGGGGATGTAACACAATTCTTCTACAAGTAAGTTCATCATTTGGTGTTCAGTGTTCATAGTGTTCAGTTGGGTTGGAATCTGGTGACTGGGGCAGCTATGGCATATGGTTGACTTTGTTTTCATACTCATCAAGCCATTCGATGACCACCCATGCCCTGTGGATGGGGATATTGTTATCTTGGAAGATTCCATTCCCATCACAATAAAAATGTTTCACCAGAAAATGAACATGATCACTCAGAATGGCTTTGTATTCATTGGCATTTATTTTGCCCTGTAAAGGGAGGAGTGCACCTAACCCCACCAGGAAAATACAGGAAAATACCCCGCAACAGAACTGAGCTACCAGACCCATAGGAAATAGGCACTCAAGACTGTAGGCTTCTTTAGGTACATACATGTACTTGTCCACTTGTTGAGAACAGGGAGAAGGATGACTCATCTGACCATGACTTTTTTTTCCACTGCAGACCTTTGTACCACTTCACCCACAAAAGTGCATTTTTAGATGTAATAAGGGGTTTATCTGCAACCCCACCATAATATTCCTCTCTGTGAAGATCTCGATGGACTGTATTTGATTAAACTCCTTGCTCACACCTTAGATTGACATCTGCAGGTCAAGTCATTCAGAGTTGCGTGTCTGTTTTGCCTTGCATCTTGACCCACTGCACAGGCATCATGGTCAAGGAGTGCTTTCGTTCACAATTGCTCCTAGTTGATGACGGCTTTCCTTCAGATGTCCTTGCCAACATCACCTTAGCCACTTTTTCTCATGAAACATCAGCGTGTTGAGCAGTCTTTGTCCCTCCTGCCAAACCTGCCCCCAACAATCACCCCTCTCTCAAAATCACTGAGATTTCTTCTTCTTCCCAAATGGAGGCCGCGACTGGGCCTGCCCAACATTTTTATACATGATACTAAGCATGATGGGATGTTATTTGCTTAATTAACTCAAGAACCTGTGTGGAAGCACCTGCTTTCAATATACTTTTTATCCCTCATTCACCTTTATTTTGGCAGTTACCTGTTTGTCCAGACATATAATGTGATGCGCTTGTAGATCCCTCCTATACGTTTTGGATTTCGTTGCAGTGTGTTTCAGATGTTTAAAGTAGGAGCTAGAAGTAATAAGCTTGATAACTTTTATTTAAAGAGTATTCCCTGTTTGGACACAACAGTTATCTATATATCCTGTGAATATTAAACCTCATAGTTCTACGGTGATATAAGGACTACTTTCACTGATCCAGTTACCACTCATACTGACCCGCTTAACTAAATCAGTCCTTTTTGGGTCTTCCAGTGGAATCTGAACAGCTGAAAATGGGAACTTATTTTATCTATAAAATACAGCCCCTGTGAAAATGTTGTAGGCCACTTACTGGTTGTTTAGAAAAAAAAACGGAAATATGTGAACTCACTCACATTAACAGAAAAAATTCCAGGCTTATACTTTTACAAGTACAAGCTGTGATCCCCTTACTGAAATAACAAATATAAAAGACAGCTTTCCTTATTGAATAATGTCTTTGGCTCCCTCTTGTATTCCTTGGGTCATTGAAGGCAATGTGATAGAACCTAGTCACATGTTTGGAAAAGCATGAAGAAGTGAGTGGATATTAATTCGTTTTTCAAACTAGCACATTGAGAATTTTCTTTAATTCCTGACTACTGAAAACGTGACTTTTAATGATGCAGTCCCGGGCACATGCAGTAGTTAAAATGTGATTGTTGATAGTAGTGACCTTGCAGCTATTTGCTGATATGCAACCGTCCTGTACAGTATGTTGTTCTAAAAGGTTGGGAAACCTGAAGATCCTTTCAGTTGTTGTGCAAATACCTTGGCGGTTGCATAATGGTGACTGTGAGTGAATAAGTTCAAAATGCAAAAAAGTGTTCTCCATGTTGAACAAGACAGTCTTCAGGATCCTTTGTTCACAATCAGAAGTCATTTTGTTTTTCTCTTTCATTCTTGGCTGTATCAGCTGGTTACCACATTGTTGATTTTGTTCCCCAACAACTCCTGATTCTGTTATTTTCCTCTACGTCCTGACCTACATCAGTGTTATTGAATCTGCGAAATCGCAGGTGACATTTCTCATGTGAACCTGAGTTTGAATAGTGGGATTGAGGTTGAATTGTATGCAAAGCATTAGATTTTAATGGACAGGACAGCCCAGTTTAACCAGTAAAGTGCAGACTGAGTTCTGTAGTTTAGGCTTCGCTGTCACAAGTCTGTATTGTCACTAGCCAGTTGTGACAGCGTTTCCCTGAATTACAGTATTCAATTGGTTGAACTCCACAGGGATTAACTGGGCTTTAGGTTGGCAAGAGCTGCATGGTTTCTGTTAATGCTAAGTTTGCTGTAGGCACTGTAAGGGACAGTTTTAAAATTAACTTTGCATGTTTCTGAGGAATGCCAAGATTTTGAAGAAAACTAGTCTGCCTTAAAAAGTGGTTGCAATGTTTTTCCAGCATAATGCTGCAGTGCTACCACTAATATAGTACTTAAGGAACTTGAGGCATCTTGTGTCAGAGTTCCAAATAAATGGAAAAATCTGCTGACTGTTGCTTTCTACAGTACATAGTTACAGTTTACATTATTCTTGTTCCTCTGATAAAGTTATTATTAATACATTTGATTTTGACTAAAATGTTTTAGATGTATTTGTATAACACAAGAATTAACAAGGCGATGTTCTGTTCCAGTGGTTAAAGCATTTACCCCACCCATTATGAAAATGAGCAGCTGACATCAGCATCTTGGACAGCATTGGATACATTAAGGTTTTTGGGCATTGTGGCTGTGACTGATAAGTCAGGCATGCTACTGGGGGTTAGAGCTGTGAACTGTGCTGGGCATAGAGCGTGCTGTTCCAGCCAGGCTATAATTTTAACATTTAGTTTAACTTTTCTTTACTGAAAACAGATGAATCATTGTTCAAAAGATGTTATTTTTAGATGTGATTCATTCCAAAATCTTAGACGATGCATTTTTGGGCAACACAATCCTCAAAGACGGCATTTTCTAAGCCAAAGTAGATTGCATAACCTTGCTCTAATAACTGCATTTTATTGTGGAATACAATGATATTCACCTTTTACTTGATAATCCCTCTTTATTTGAACAACTGTAAAATTAATTGCACCCCATTGTTTATTCTCTCATTATCAATTGTAGTTAAGTTTTTTTACTACAATTTTTAGAAAACAGTTTTGTTCCTTACTTTAGTTGTCCTTTTCCCAAAAAGGAAAGTTTTGTATTTAAACCCCCTTTGATGGTCACACATTTTGTAAACAAGTTTGTAGTCACACTTACACATAAAAGTACTAATATAAAAAAAGTCACCATTTATGGGTGAACCCGTTTCAGGATACATAAATGTTTGTATTTGGGAAAGCGAGTTGATGATTTTACCCACTCTTTTCACCACACAGACAGTGACGATCCTTGATTTCATCCCAGTGAGCTCCAAAATTACACTTTCTCAAATGTATGAGTAGCATTTAAACCTTGATTGACCCATAACTGCACCCATAACTAGCAGTTGCCATTACTGATCTCATTCTTGAGGACGCTGACAATAGTTATGGTGGTGATGCTCTTGTGCTAATTTATCGGCTAATTTTTGTGGCATGAGAGAAGCAGGAAAATTTGAAGGAGGGCATTGAATGCAGCTCATTGTGTTCTCCACTTGGGGGAGAAAAATCATGTAATGACTTGTTTAATGTTGTCCTACCATTGTCTTCATTCAGTTTCTGGAATTTTTGCAGACTTGAAAAATGTGTTGTTTTTCCTCATGAATGAAGCCCAGACATCTATCCTGTGAATCATTTTGTTCTAAACTGTCTTGCATCCAACTCTTTGAAGGTTAGAGGAAACGCCTTCATACAGATAGCCCAAGAGCAAGATTCAAACGGAATCATGCAGATATTTAATGAGGGAAATGGTGATCTATGTGGGCATTTAAAAATATTGGTCTAACTTGACCCATGTGAGGTAGTCAACCTCCATATAGGGTGATAGATTTACATGTTTGCCTCCCATTTTATTATGCATTTCAAAATAAGTGGGTTTTCTGATGATGGACTTTAAATTTACAGTTTTTACTAATTGTCCAGTATGTCCCTTAAATTGGCAGGCATGTTTTTTTGTGGCAAGTGTCTACCTGTTTACGCTATACTGCACCACAATTGCATTAACAGCATCTGATTTAACATGTGT